ATGTCCCACGACCGCAGGACCCGCCAGTGAATCAGGCTCACTGGGGGTGCCACCTTCATGTGGCCATCTACCAACTCCAGATGGACCCCCTTCAGGGAGGCATTCGCAAGGAAGAAGATCTCCTGCTCGGTGGTCTCGGCCGAGTGGTTCCCCGGCGGCGACCCGGCCTCCGGGCCCCCCGACCGGGGGTGCTCCGGAAGATCGTCCGAAGGCCCCGAGTCGCTTGGACTTGCCAGCCTGCCGACCGAGGGGAAGTGGCCGGACTTCAGTTGTCGAGATCGCAGGCAAAAGTCGAAAGCCAGCGTTCCCTCAACCACCAGCCGGGGCATTCCGCGGAGAGCCGATCCGAGCAGCACACGTCCCGGGCCAAAGCGCACCTCGAGCTGCTTGTCCACCAGGGACCTGACAAACTCGAGTGTCGGGGAGTAGATCGTCTCCGAAAGGGGCGGGAGGTCGGGCGACCGTCCACTTGGCAAAAACAAGAACGACACCAACAGCCCCTCATGGATGCACATCCACCGCCTCGGGGTCGCCCAATTCCACCTCGGGTCCGGCATACTCGAGAGATTGAAGGCCTTTCTCGCGGCCAAGCGCCCGCCCGGACAGACGACACCCGCCAGGGGGGCGAAATGCGTCGGCAGCCATGGGAAGGCATCCTCGTCAGGATGCTGGGAGAGAGAGAGGGGGGGGGGGGGGAAAGGAAGAAAAGCCCAGGCCCGGAGGAGGGAGAACCCCCGGGGCCGACCCCGCCGACGTACCAGCTCGGGCGACAGTTTCACCGACCTGATCAGGTCATACCTCTGCGGGGTTCCGGAATCCGGCAAAATGTTGACCCGCTGCTGGCCGGCCGGCAACAAATGAAAGGGACTCTCATTAACACCGACGGGCAGTGGATTACCGCTCCCCGGTCCCAGCCGAAGGAGCATCCTCCGAGTGCGGTCCGTGAAGAAGATGGAGCAGCCGTCGGACAGGGCATTCATCGGGGCCATGTACTCCGGTAACAGGTACTCCAGCTGTGTTCCATCGATCGGGCCATTCTAGAGAGTCAGCTTCTTGCCATACCTGCGGCCGGGCCCCGGGCGGGCCCCGCGGCCTGCCCCCCCCCCCCCCTCTTGTCCCCCCCACTGGCAGCGACCAGCAAGGCAGGTGACACCACGGGCACACTGAAGGCGCACTTTAGGGAAGAAGGAAAACCGGCTTACCGGCTGGCGAAGGTCAATCAGAATTGGATGGTGCATGGGAGAAGGCACCAGATACACCATCCCGTTGTCGGCTGCCGGGATCAGCCGCGCCTGAGGAGATAGCACCAACCGGAGGGACTGCCACCTGTTGGGCGGCCCCACAGCATAGATGAGATTCCTGTCGAACTCCAGGCATACGAGCTCCTCCGAAGTAAGGACCAACAGCTTCCGGTTGTGGGCAAACAGACGACCAACCATGCTGGCGTTCCGCTCCAAGCAGCCGGCCCCGCATTGGTGAAACTGCCGCGAAGGGCGAGGACGCCGGCCGAAAGTCCAAACATCGATACGCGCGCAATCAGACCACCGGGGCCTCCGGATGTCAGTGACATGCGTGCGGCGAAATACGCGCGCAGACACACACTTGCACGCTTGCACGCTTGCACGCTTGCACGCTTGCACACTTGCACGCTTGCACGCTTGCACACTTGCACACTTGCACACTTGCACACACACACACATGAAGATACAGCCCCACGGGAACAGAAGGACACAAGGACAGGCATTCGCCTCAGGCATCTGTGGCCTTCTCGGAAAATCCGCAAGGTCAATTTGGCGGAGGCCGCCACGTACCAGCGTTGCCAGGTTCTGCGAAAAGGCCTCGGTCCAGACATGCAAGATTTGCCCGAGGCAATTGGTCACCACCACCGGGTCCCCTTGCAAGCAGTACGGAAAGACCAGCGGCTTGAATAACGGATTGCAATAGACCATCCGAAGGTCCGAAATGATGGTGCGCACCGACACCCTATCAGCCCCATTTGGACCACGGCCCTGGTCATGCACCGGATCTCCTTCGCAAGCCGCCATCCCAAAGCGCACTCGGAAGAGAGCCCCCTGGTGAGATAGAAGAAGGGAATGCTCGCGCAGGAAGAATGCCTCGACCGGCTTCGACGCCGGTCCCAACCATCCGGAGAGGGTCTGACCAAAGACGCCACATTGTCAGCAGTTTGAAGTGACTGGCCGGCCCAGCGACATCCATCAGCCCAGTGCGGACCTCTTTAAGGATGACCCGGCCCGCGAACAGCACCCCACGAACGGCGCCCCCCCGGGCCATGACCACAGACCAGCCAGTGCCCCGCTCAACCAGGGTCTCCCCTGCAGCAATGTCCTGCACAACCTCCACCGGGTACATGATTCCCTCATCGAGGCACTGGGCCACGGCGATCTGACCGCCGAAAGCAACGTAAACCCACCGGTCCTCCACGGAAATGGTCCCGCTCAGCGAGGGAGCCTGCTTCGTCGAGGGGATGCCGACGCGATCGGAGGGAACCGTCAGTTGCCGCTCCATGCCCCGTAGCCGGACATCCCCCCCCCCCCCCCAGCAACACGGCCGCCCAGATGTCCCCGTCCAAGGACGCACCTTCTCCGAGCCGGGTCGGAAAGGCTGCCGAAGGTCGAAAAGCTCCTCCGCCTTGCCGTAGGTGTAGGCCATGGCCATCCAGCGGTCCTTTGCACGTTGGGAGAGGACTATTTTCGGGCCAAATTCCAAAAGCACCCGGCCATCCTTGAGGCCCACGCGGGTGGGCATACTCTCGGCATATTCATCACCAGTGCTGTATGAAAGGCCCTGGTCAGGCATTGTGTTGTGTGTGCGACTGGCCCCTCGGGGTGTGGGACTCTCCGGTGAGCCGGCCTCACAGGGCAATGGGGGCCGAGTTTGGGGGGGGGGGGAGGGGGGGTGCGTAAGGGCAGGCGACGACGGCGCGTGCTGGTGGGGAACTTCTGGGCGTCGGTGGCAATGGGTGATCCCTCGGGGTCGACGGGCTGTCCCAAAGCAGGCGTATCCTCTTCTTTTTTTTTCTGTCGCAGAAGTTGGGCGATTCGGACCTTGCCCCGACTACACCGTAGCGGCCGGATGCTTGAGGCTGCCTCTTGCACCAAGGCTCAAGGTATACAGCAAGGAGAGTGAAAGGAAGACCGACAAGGGGCCAGGAGAAGCAATGATGGAAGAGGGGTTCCGAGGAAGGGGCCATGAGAAGGGGGGGGGGGGGCAGCAACTTGTCTTGATTGTTCCGCACTCTTCCGCGCCCCTTCTTCCTCTGCCCCACAAAAATACCCCCCACTGCGCTCATGACTCCCAAGGCAAACACAGGGCACTTGTCAAGAAGGCCATCATCGAGGGGTCCACTTGTCGAGTTGCCCGCGACGCCGCGGAGGTCATCGCCCCCTGCGAGATGGCATCCGCTCTCGACCACTCGAGATCTAATCCGGGTGGACGAATGACGAGAGAGGTGGTCGAAGGCAGTTGCTCATGAAAAGCAGAAGAGACCCGGCCACTTTGCCGGGAAATAGGAGGCCCATCTGGCGGCCCCTCTGGCCTCGATCCAGGGAGTCGCCTTTACGACGGTCCTAGCCCGGCCGACGCCATCGCCGCCGGGGCTCCCACATCCGGCCGAGCCAAGGAGAGGATGCCTGGAAGGACCAGGGATCAGGGCCAGGCCGAGGAACGAGACGCCCAACGGTGGCCCATTAATATTCCAGGGGAAAGCCCTGCCGGAAGCTCGCTATGGTGGAAAGAGGGAGGTGGCTCGCGCGGGGGACAATCGAAACCAACCGAAAAAAAACCGGCGAAATAACGAGGCGGTTGCCTGTCAGGCGTGCGACCTTTAATCGGTTTCGCTGTGTGGGTGTGCGGGTGTGTGGGTGTGTGCAAGTGTGTGCAAGTGTGTGCAAGTGTGTGCAAGTGTGTGCAAGTGTGTG